ATGGGAATGAGATAAATGTTGGCTCCATATGAAATATGGTTGTTGTTGTTGTTGCTCTGTGTACGCTCACGACTCGGCCAGTTTGTTTGGCAGTCTTCGGTTGGGTTCGCAAGGTCGCCCTGCACTTTCTCACGTGATACATTTTAAATGGCTCCTTTCTTTTGTTGTTTCCCCATTGTATAGAGTGATTGCTTTATCGCCGTCATTTGAAGAGATTATGATGAATTTATAAGCACGTTCTGTCAGAGAATTGGTCCGAAATATGACGTTCCAAAACGACTTGTGGAGTATTCTCTTGATGTGCAATAAGCCCCATCGTGGCGCCTCGTAATGTCCTGCTGAGATTGTGCATCGCAATGTCAATGGAAGCAGCGCGGTTAAGTCCCAGAGCTGCAAAAAGGCAAATTAAGTGAAAACCAAAATTGAATCTAATGGGATTTTTGTGCGGTCATTGGCTATAAGCCTGCGACGAATGGTGATGCTTCTTATAAATCGTATTCCTTCTACCTCGTCAAGGCTACACTTGTGTCAGTACATTCCACTGTAGTATGTTAGAACTGATATCACACAAAACTGAAGAGTTCATGGCATTTGTATTGCTTGGCAATTGGTGTCCTGCTTATTTGCTGTACCTTCTCCTCTGTTTGGCTTTTGGAGCCTGGGTCTCCCTTGAAAATGGGATTGCACCGGTCTCAATGGGATTGCACCTCTCTCAATGGGATTGCACCCTGGTGAGAAAGGCCAGCTACTCGCTTCAGTAAATTATCAGAGTGCACTGTCAACTGTGGATTCCACGTGAAGACCCTGTGCCATTGTTATTATGAATAAAAGTGCTTTTTGGTTCTTTCGGTAAAGTCACGTAGAAAATCAAATCAAATCATAATAGAATACGACGTTTCGGTGTGTCTTGGTGTGTGTCTCGCTCTGTGTGTCTTGGGGTGTGTTTCGCTCTGTGTGTCTTTGTGTGTGTCTCTCTCTCTGTGTCTTGGTGTGTGTCTCTCTCTGTGTGTCTTTGTGTGTGTCTCTCTCTGTGTGTCTTGGTGTGTGTCTCTCTCTGTGTGTCTTGGTGTGTGTCTCTCTCTGTGTGTCTTGGTGTGTGTCTCTCTCTGTGTCTTGGTGTGTGTCTCTCTCTGTGTGTCCTGGTGTGTGTCTCGCTCGGTGTGTCTTTGTGTGTCTCTCTCTCTGCATGTTGTCTGCCTATGCTGTCCCGTGTCTGTGTTTATCATTCATTCTTACCTGATGATGGTTGCTTGTGTTGCTACCGAAACGTCGTAATCTATTATTATTTGATTTTATTTTCTACGTGACTTTACCCAAATAACCAAAGAGTAATTCCTGCAGTCGCAAAAGCTTCGAATCTAGTTTCAATAAAAGTAGTTAATAAAAGTAGTTAATAAAGTAGTTACTTTAACAAAAGTAGTCCATCTTGCGAATGTCTTGAACAGATGGCCACATTGAAAATGGATGGCGACTAAATTGTGAACTCGCTGTATTTTAATTTGCGGCCATGTGAAGAATGGATCTGACGTGGCACTCTTGATAAAGAATTGAGTCAAATGCCATGAAGTGTGTTTGGTTCCCAATCCCAACGTTGTTCGGTATATACGAGCTAGAGATGCGTTTCTCGTCAATTGCTCTTCCTTACGAAATTAGCATCATCACAAACACGTGGCACATGAAAAGACAAATAATCAATAACATTCTTCAAATGCGTGACTAATGCGTCTTGTTCAATGTCTCTGCTACGACACAACGCACATTGGCGACTACCGTACATCGCTCACGGCCACACAACGTACAATGTTATCATTTGCACGGGAGGATATTCGCGATTTTAAGAACCTAACAGCTCGTCTCTCATCCAGCTATTCGCGTTATTTCACGTTTACCAATCGGGCATTGTGCGCCGCCGATTTGCAAAGAGAACAATCGAATTGGAACGTCAGTGGTGAGATAACGACGGTGATGTTCGACACGAGAGGAGCGAGGCGGGCTCCGGACGATGCCCATCGCACCGTGATAGCGGCTCTGCCGTCTTGTGTTTGCGTCCCATGAATCCGATAATTAGATATACTGACCGAACATCCTTCATGGCTGTGCGCGCGCTACTTGATAGACGCGAGAGAATGGACTGCCAGGGTGACTCCCTGGTTTCCGACGGTGTCCCATGAATCTTCACATCGTATCTTAAGGCTCTGGACACGGTCTGTCTTCTCCAAGGCAGTTGTCCTGTCTTCGCTCGTGTCAATGAATCTGTAGATCGGACCACGGCCGAACGCAGTTCACAGCGAGACTTTGCTCGACATTTCCCGTGATTCTCTCTCCTCGCGCCGTGCCTCTATGCAGTGCACGCGCCCACAGAGGGCATTGCTGCGTATTCACGATGCTTGTATTTAGACAGGAGAGCTAACTGCATGGGAACAACGGAGAGTGACGTGATATCGTCATGAGCGAGTGTCGTACAAGAAGAGATTGGGTCGCCGTCCACTCTTGCCACTGATTCCACGGGGAGTGGAAGGGGGCAACATCAGAGGTGATGCAGGCAGCGGACGGGCTACTTTGCAGGCAGCAGGGGGCAGTGGAGCAAAATGAATGCGCGTGGACCAGCGTGGTGAAGTATGGTCAAACGACCCCCCTCCCGCCGCGACCTGCACGGTGTGGGGAAGCCCTCATCCGGCATGCACCACCACCATCATGATGACGATGCCCAAACTTGCGGAATGTAACATGAAGTGACTCGATTGCAATAGCCCCGGGTGGCTTAGTACGCGCGCGCGTGCACGTTGAACGTCTTTCGCACGGTACGTAGCCAACCTTGCTCATCGGAGGTGCGGCCTCCGCACACCCGGAGGGCGCGAGGTTGGTTTGGTCGCCCCGGAGAGCCGAACCAGTGGCGGCGGGTGCGGGTTCAGCGAGCCCGGTGTCCGGGCGCGCGCGGTGTGTGCGCGTGTGTGTTTTGTTTGGCCATGAGATGAATATGAGATGGCAGGGAATGGTGTATTGATTGAGATGAGCTTCCCCATTACCAGACCGTCCCCGGGCGCTCTAATTGGCGGGCTGCGCTGCTACACGCTAACGGATTGTCAATGCTAACCGCGCGGTTAATGCCAGGGCTTGATTTCAGCCAGAGCCCCTGTCAATGCACCCCTCCTCCTCTGTATGACGACCCGTGAGAAATGAAGCCCCGGTGAGTGCGGACTGGGAGGGGGCAGCGAGGGAGCAGGACTTGTCAGCGCTGTCCCCGTCAACGCGAGTCATCGAAACCCATCGTTACGCGCTGCACGCACCTGATGATAGCAAAACACACCTCCAGTTCACACGTGTATACCATGTGTAGAGAGAGAGAGAGCTACTCCGAGTTAGCCCTCTCTGACACACACACACACTCGGGGCGATAGACAAACACCCAATGTCGGTATAGCCGATGTCGACTGGTGGGACCAATGCGGTGAGCAAATGCGTGAAGTTATTTGGCGATGCTGCGTTGGCACACACAACAACAACAACTCAACACATTTGTTCATATTACTGTGGTCTTAAAATTAAATATATAATAGGAGACGTTTCAGGCAATGGGCCTTCTTCATTCATGTGCTATGAACAAGAGCCATTGCCCAACATATCACGTGCTTTATACATATACTGTATAACCTTTAAAGTCCGCAGTGTTATTAACGTGTTGATTTCATCCGTTATCTGCGCCGGGTGTAACAAAAAAAGGCAAAGGCAAAGATCCCCATTATAGCCTTAACATACTTTCGGGGCAAGTGCTGTTCGCAAGCACCTATGAAGGCGGGCACGACGCATCTATGAATCGGATAGTGAATGGGTGGCCAACACCACGCCCGGCCGCCTTTGTCTCCCAGGATAATGAATGGGTGGCCAACACCACGCCCGGCCGCCTTTGTCTCCCAGGATAGTGAATGAGTGACCAACACCACGCCCGGCTGCCTTTGTCTCCCAGGTGTCAATGTCTACACATCGCATGAGCAGGAATTGAACTCGGGACAACGGTTTCGTAGCGCAGCGCCCTAACCGCTGCGCCACCGTTCCCCACCTATCTACACACCCACACACACACACGGTCTCTATGTTAAGTTTGAATGGGCGCCGCACGTCACGTACGTGACGTACGTGACGGGACACGCGTTTAGCAATCATCGGGCGCGTGCTGCGTGCAACGACTTCATTTACATTCGAACGTCGAGAGAGGTGGGCACACAAGGACTGGGCGGCGTTCTACTTCGGCGTGCTGTGCGCACAGGACTGGGCGCGCGCTCACTCACAGCGGGAGCGGTGGCGTTGTTGTTTGTGAGCGCACGGACAATGCTCGGTGTTGCCACCTCTCCGCGGCTCTAACAATGACCCCTTTCACACGCGAATCCAGCACTGAATCGACAGTGGCAGCAGCATCCTCCTGCCGCTGCCGCCTGTGGGTACAGCCGCTGCTGTGCCCTTCCACAGGTCATTCCTGCTCCATCTGCATGCTTGGCCAATCATTATTTCGTTTCAAATACATCTGGCTATCGGCTGATGAAGCTGGTTGTAATTACTGGCGAAACGTCGTAATCAGATTGTAAATGTCGTGGCGTGGCTCTCCAACACACCGGTTAGTGCTGTACTGGTGACGAATTGGCCACGTTCTGTTTACGTGACAACCCTTACTAGTTGGCTGTGTCGGGCGGTGGCGGGTTTAACGACGCATTTATATTTACGCGATCTAACGAACAAAAAGAACCTCTTATGGATATTATGAATGTTGTTTGTAAACTGCGCTCACGAGGGGGAATCGCTTCCAGTGCCCCGCTGCACACAGGCGGCCTCGCGAGGCCACTGGCTGTCCAGCCAGCTCGCTGTCAAGCCCCCACCCACCTCGCATCCCGAGGTGATCCACCAACCCCTGTTACGGAAGGCACGTGTGCTGGCGCACACGTGCCTTCCGTAACACACCACACACACCACACCACACACCACACACACAAACCACACACACACACCACACAAACCACACACACAAACCACACACACACACCACACACACCACACCACACACACAAACCACACACCACACACACCACACACACAAACCACACACACACTCCACACACACAAACCACACACACACACACCACATACACCACACACACAAACCACACACACACCACACACACACACCACACACACCGTAAACTCGTCACATTCGTCATGAACACAGCCATATGCCAAAAGAGGAGTGTACACGGCAGGCTGACGTTTCGGGACAGCCCCAATCAGTGGCCATTGCCCAACACGCAAGTCGATCCAGTGTACGCACTGCAGTGTACACACTCCAGTGTACACACTCCAGTGTACACACTCCAGTGATGCGCGCCTCGCCGCGCCATTTACCAACGCCTTGCCACCACCACCACCGCCTTGCCACCACCACCGCCACCACCACGACGACGTCACCGCGTGTTGAGCGCGCGGGCCGCGTGCGCGCCAGGCGGCAGGTGGCGGCGCCCCGGGAGGGTTCAGCTGTCGCGCGCGGCGGCGGCGGCGGCGGCGGCAGCGTCCGAGTGCACGGAGCTCGCCGACTCCGAGTCGGGTTTGGTGCGCACGAGGCGCGCCGCCCCCGCGCTCCCGTTGTGCGACGACGCGGCCGCCGGCTCCCGGAAGGCCACGTGCTTGGCCCCGGTGCCGGGACACGAGCTCCCCGGCCCCAGCAACGCCGAGTGGCCGGGGGCCCGGCTCTTGGCGGCGTGCGACGGCATTCGGCCTCCACCGGCGAGCGCGCCGCCACCACCGCTGCCACCGGCGTGCATTGAGTGGCCAAATTGACAACAGTCATCCGCCACCGTCACCACCGTCACCGCCGCCACCACCACCGTGACTGCACGGACCATAACAGCCAGCAGCAGCAGCGTCGTCATCGTTGTGACCGCAGCAGCGCAAGCAGCTGTAGCTGCTGCAGCTACTGCTGCTACAGCAGCAGCAGCGTGGCCGCGGCTGTGCGTGCTCGCGCCTGCGGTGCTGCGCGTGTCGCCTGCAGCCGCAGGGCGTCAGGTAGAGGTAGAGGAGCACCATGAGCAGCGTGGCGCTGCACGCGATCAGGGTGGTGAGGCCCGTGCTGAAGCTCTCGGGCGGCGTGGTGTCCAGCACGGTGACGTTCACCGTCACCGAGTCGTTGATGCGGAGGCGCGCGTTCCACGCCCGGCACGTGTACTCGCCCGACAGCTTGTCGGGCTCCAGGGCGCGGATTTCTAGAGCTCCCCCCGGGAGGATGCGGACCGAGTCGAGGGTGCGGGAGGGCGTGAGCCACTCGTACTCGGTGCCGCTCTGGCCCACGACCAGCACGTCGCACGGGACGGTGAGCACGTCGGTGAGGTGGGCTCTGTAGGAGGCGCGGAAAACGTCGCCGCCGCCGGTCTGGGAGCAGCCCAGCTCCTCGGGGCGAGCTCGCAGGAGGTCTACGGCGGCCGGGGCGGGCGCCGTGCCGTTGGGCCGCCTGGCGCAGCGCATCTCCCCGTCCGCGAACTCCGTGACCGAGCGGAAGCGTCTCCTGCGCCACGAGGCGAGCAGCAGGTAGAGCTGGCACTCGCACTCGAGCGGGTTGCCGTGCAGGAGCAGCCCGTCCCGCAGCGGAGCCGGCAGCGAGTTGAGCTCCTGCACGGGCACGGAGGCGACGCGGTTGAAGGAAACGTCGAAGAGCGAGAGCCGCGGCATGGACGCCAGGGTGTCGGCGGGCACGCGGAGCAGCGCGTTGTGGCTCAGGTAGACGGCGCGCAGCAGCGGGCTGGGCGCGAAGGCCGCCGCGTGGAGCCGCGAGATGGAGTTGTTGTAGAGCAGCAGCACCTCCAGCGCCGGCAGCCCCTCCAGCGTGTCCGCCTCCAGCGAGCCCAGCCGGTTGGAGGAGAGGTCCAGGTGCTGCAGATGCCCCATCGTGCTGAACGCGCCCTGCGCTATGAAGTTGAGCCGGCAGTGAGCCACGCTGAGCCGGCTGAGAGCCGCCGAGCCCGAGAGCCAGCCAGGCTGCAGCTTGTGCAGCAGGTTGTGGCTCAGGTCGAGCACGCTGGCGTAGCGAGGCAAGGAGACGCTGCCCGGCCGCAAGGAGGCGATGGCTCGGCCACTGCAGTCCACCACCTCCCCCGCGCACGTGCAGGGAGCCGGGCAGGAGCGAGGGGCGGCCGCGTGGCTGCCCCGGCCAGCGAGGAAGAGCGACCGCGGCGGCCAGGCTGGGCAGCAGCAGCAGCAGGAGCATCGCGTCCGGCAGGCAGGCGGCAGGCGGCGGCTCGCTCGGCGGGCGTGTTCAGCGAGCGCGCAGGCGAGTGAGCGAGTGGTGGAGCGTGCTGCTCACAGACCTCGGGGCGGAGGCTACCGCGGCCGTCGGGGTAGAGACGCCCGGGAGCCCGGCCAGCGTGCGCCTCCAGCGCCCGGGGAGACGCAACTCGCGGGGTCCTTGACGGCGGCGGCTGAGCAATCACAAAGAGGGACAACAGCGATGCGGGTGAGACGCGGTGACCATCCTCGACAGACGCGCTATAGCGAGTCCGCAGAGCCCACCATATGCGGCGATATCAGCTGGCATCCAGTGATGTGCATTACACCCAGTCCGGCAGCTGGCCGACGTTATGTGTTTCTTCATATCATACGCGCAGCTTGCTTTCAACAGGATGGGCTACGGTAGGTGGTCTCGAGCACGAGTTTAGAAGATGTGAAGAAGATGCAGCCACTTTGCGGGTTGTCGAGCTTACTCCGGGACGGGCAGGGATCAGCAGAGGGAGGCCGAGGGAGGGTGAGATGGTGGTGGTGGTAGTGGTGGTGGTAGTGGTGGTGGTGGTAGTAGTGGTAGTGGTGGTGGGATGGTGGTGGTAGTGGTGGTGGTAGTGGTGGTGGTGGTAGTGGTGGTGAGATAGTGGTGGTGGTAGTGGTGGTGGTGGTAGTGGGATGGTAGTGGTGGTGGTAGTGGTGGTAGTGGTGGTGGTGGGATGGTGGTGGCGTGGAAGGAGACGTGTGGACTGTGGATGTGACAAGAGGCAGAGTGGGAGACCGCGGGGGGAGCGAGATGCGAGCCGACGACTCCCGCATGGTGCAGCCACGGCCCGTGCCGCTCTCAAGCAGAAGGCGATGCAGGAGACACGCAGAATAGCCCCGTGTGTGTGTGTGTGAGTGTACACTCACACACACACACAGTACACACTCACACACACAGTGTAACACTGTGTGTGTGTGTACACTCACACACACACAGTATAACACTGTGTGTGTACACACAGTGTTATACTGTGTGTGTGTACACACACACTCACAGTATAACCCCAGTGTGTGTGTGTACACTCACACACGCAGTATAACACGTGTGTGTGTGTACACTCACAGTATAACCCCAGTGTGTGTGTGTACACACACAGTATAACACCGTGTGTGTGTGTGTGTACACACAGTATAACACTGTGTACCCTCACTGTGTGTGTGTGTGTACACTGTGTGTGTGTACACTCACACAGTATAACACCGTGTGTGTGTGTACACACAGTATAACACTGTGTACACACTCACAGTATAACACTGTGTGTGTGTGTACTCTCACTGTGTGTGTGTGTACACTGTGTGTGTGTGTACACTGTGAGTGTGTGTGTACACTGTGTGTGTACACTGTATGTGTGTACACTCACTGTGTGTGTACACTGTGTGTGTGTACACTGTGTGTGTGTGTACACTCACTGTGTGTGTACACTCACTGTGTGTGTACTCTCACTGTGTGTGTACACTCACTGTGTGTATACACTGTGTGTGTGTGTGTACACTCACTGTGTGTGTGTGTACATTCACTGTGTGTGTGTGTACTCTCACTGTGTGTGTGTATACTCACTGTGTGTGTGTGCACTCTCACTGTGTGTGTGTACACTCACTGTGTGTGTGTATACTGTGTGTGTGTACACTGTGTGTGTGTGTGTACTCTCACTGTGTGTGTGTGTACACTCACTGTGTGTGTGTACTCTGTGTGTGTGTACACCCACTGTGTGTACCTATCGAGCGATCTGGCGTCTCGACGCGCCGCGTGAGTCGATCTGCACCATGAGACTCGCGCGCTGCGGAGTGCTCCGTTCCAGGAGGAGGAGGGTGGAGATGAGTGACGAGAGAGGGTTGTTGACGAGAGAGGGTTGTTGATGAGAGAGGGTTGTTGACGAGAGAGGGTTGTTGACGAGAGAGGGTTGTTAATGAGAGAGGGTTGTTGATGCGGTTAGAAGCGACGGACTCACTTGTAAGTGGTGAATCCAGGACTCTCATCATCATCATCATCGCCATCGCCATTCTCGTCATCATCTTCGGCATCACCGCCAGCAGCAGCAGCAGCAGCATCAAAGTTGCAATGACGCCGGTCTCGAAGGCAACGGTGTCACCGACACATCGCTCAGTGATGCCTCCATCCTCGGATTTCCTTGCACGGTCGTCGCGATCTCAGAGTCTGTGCATGTGTGTGCTCACGCGTGTGCGTGTGTGCTCACGCGTGTGCATGCACACAGCACTCGCGTCTAGTGCAACAGCACTGGCCGATATCTCCCCACGGCGAGCGCAGCCATCGCACCGACAGAGGCGCCGCTGCTGCCGCTGCTGCTGGAGACCCACGACGCCGCTTCGAGTCCACGACGCTGCCGCTCTCTGCGCGCGCGACGCCGCTCCGCGCCGCTTAAATAGCCCCGCGTGGGGGAGCGGTGGCGCAGCGGTTGGGGCGCTGCGGACACGCGCGCGAGTCCGTGACCCGCGCCCACGGCGAAGGGCGACCGGTGAGGATCATCTGAAGCGGTGCTGACTCTGCCGCGGATGGGTCTCTGGCGCGATGCGTCGTAGACGTCGCCACGGGACAAAGGCGACCGCGTGTGGCTCTGGCCGGCCTCCAAAGGTGCTGACTAACTGCACTTGCCGTGACCGTCTGTTGAAGGCTATACGGGGGATCTTTGTATTTGTCTTCTAAGGAGCGGTGGTGCAATGGTTAGCGTGCTGCGCAACGGCGACACGAATTCGATTCCCGCTCACGGTCAATATTAGTGACGATCATCTGAAGCGGTCCTGGGCCTCCCTTAGGTCGACTCAGCCGTAAATGAGTACTTGATGCGGTGCGTAGTAGACATTGGCACTGGGGAGACAAATGCGGTTGGGTGGGGTCCTGTCCCCACCCGCCCCCTCGCGTGCCGTGCCGGCCTGCGCCGGTACTCGCTAGCAGCACTTGCCCTGCGTGTTGGAGGCCGTGCGGGGGAGCGTGGTGTGCGTGCTGCGCGCTGTGTGTGGACACGGTCTGGGGGTCGTGGAGGTACCGCGAGTCGACTCGGGCAAGGGACGGGAACCCTCGAAGCGAACCGACACGCGGACGCACGACATTTCACTGTTGCGACTTGCGGTTTGTATTGATCCGGTTTACGTCTGTGCAGAACAAGAAGAGAATGCAGTTTACATTCATAGTTATCCTTTAAAGCGAGCCATACCCACGTAAGGATTGTGATAAATGCTGCGCTGCAGGCTCAACGTGATGACAGTGCAATGCCGTACGGGCACACACTCGAGGTCGGCTCACCATCTCGCCGCCTCGTGTGTGGCTTTCTCAAGGCTGGGAGATGTTGACTCCCTCGCCTGGTCTACAGGAGGTCGTGGATTCGATCCCGAGCCTGACGCCTGCTGCTGTATGTTTGAGGTTTTCGTGTCTCTCTCTCTCTCTCCCCCCGTGGTCGCGTGGATTGTTCTCCGGGTCCTACGGTTTTCCCTCCACGTTAAGAATCAACATCACGCGTCTATGTGGACATTTCCACACGAGCCACTTCATCTGGCTGTCATTTGTGTAGCCAGGTCGCTTCTGAGAACAAGAACTATATAGCTCAGTGGGCCTTACCTGGTAGATTAATAAAAATAATGTTTAGTTTAGTTTTTAAAGCGATTGTGTTTGGCCACATCATTATTATTTTAATGAAAACTCTTCACCGTAAATCTCGCCCCAGAGTGACTGTGGTGATCAATATGCCGTTATACATTTTTGTGATTCGATTACAAATATATTTCCCATGAGACGTCACATTCCTCCGGATCGCTAAATAACGAGGGGACAAGCCGCGGGACAATGAGGGAGCTTCAGTTGATTGGGGGTTGTTTTGACCGCACAAAGCAATCTGTGCACGCTGCGAGGACCGACTCACAGCATATTATGAAACAAACAACATAATGCAAACTGTTTATTTGAGACTTATTTCATTTCCAGTATTGTAACAAATTATACAGCTCTTGGAATTCATATTAGTAAGCTTTCACCGTCGTCTTATACAGTTAATCCTCTATTGACTCACCACCACTCTCCTACCTCTCCCCTCTCATCTCACTCCACTCCCCTCCACGCACTCTCCTACATCTCCCCTCTCATCTCACTCTACTCCCCTCCACACACTCTCCTACCTCTCCCCTCTCATCTCATTCTATTCCCCTCCACGCACTCTCCTACATCTCCCCTCTCATCTCACTCTACTCCCCTCCACACACTCTCCTACCTCTCCCCTCTCATCTCATTCTACTCCCCTTCACGCACTCTCCTACCTCTCCCCTCTCATCTCACTCTACTCCTCTCCACGCACTCTCCTACCTCTCCCCTCTCATCTCACCCTACTCCCCTCCACGCACTCTCCTACCTCTCCCCTCTCATCTCACTTCACTCCCCTCCACGCACTCTCCTACCTCTCCCCTCTCATCTCACTTCACTCCCCTCCACGTACTCTCCTACCTCTCCCCTCTCATCTCACTCGACTCCACTCCCCACTATAATGAAGCCCCCAGGCAACCTTCACTCAGTGGGTGGTCATTCATTCTCCTTTGCTGATCCCAGAGTCTGAAACTGCCTCTCCCCAGCCGTCCGTGCTGTCAACCCCCTCTCCCTATTCAAGTCAAGACCTCATGTAATTTAAAAAGCCCACGTTTTTGTACATACTTGTTTTTTTATTCACACAAAAAAACCTATAGAGATGCAAATGAGATTGTATAAGTCGTGTTGTACGTTTTACAGCAGCAGTCGGCTCAGCGGTCTAGAAGCTGTTTGTGCATGATGCAAAGTTATATCCCACGCTAAGTGTACAGCAGCAGCAGCAAGGCGTTCAGCAGAAGTTGGAGACCATTCGCGCGGCAGCAGCAGCAGCCCCCACCACGAGCGGGAGGCTCCAGCAGGGCGAGGGAGTTCGTGGAGTTTCGGCGAAATGGGCGTCGTTAATTCGAAAATGCGTCATAATTTCAGGGTAATGGACACCAATAAATAACCTAACAGCTCCCTTAGAAACCCTTGGATAATATTAACTCAGCATAGCATTATGCATCGGGAATTATTACCAGTACATTGCACATGTTGACACAAGGAGTTTAAACATACACAGGTTTCTATCTAATGGAGAATGAATTATTGTAATAATCTGTGCCTCTTCTGATTGAAAAATACTAAGCATAAAACCCTTCTCAGACTACAGTAGAAGCACATCACTGTCTAAACACGTATCGAGTGGGAACGTGTACTTGTAGTCCTGTACAGCGTACTCTACATTTACAAGAGAGCACGGGGGATATGGCAATGCAGTCGTCAAGACGGGGCTACTCACACAATATAATTTCTAAACTAAGTACTGTATCAATAATGTACCATACAGAACGAAAGACAAAGATTCCCCATATAGACTTGGACAGACTGTTGGGGCAAGTTCGATGAAGGCCGTCATGGTACACGCAGGGTGGGTGGCCAACACCACGCCCGGCCGCCTTTGTCTCCCCAGCACCGATGTATACACACCACACCAGGACGACCGACGAGAGGCCCAGGAGCGGTTCACATCATTATCATCACCGATGTGGGCCGTGAGCGAGAATCGAACTCGGGTGTCCGGGTTCGTAGCGCGGCGCGCTAACCGCTGCACCACCGCTCCCCGCTCCAGCCCAGCCCATGGGCACGCTGACACCGACTCTCTCTGGGGACCAAGGAGAGAGCTCCGTGCAGCCACGTGGAGCCGCACAGGCATCGCCGGGTGAGCTCCCAGGGTCGTTGATTGCTCGCGAGCGCAATCAGCGTTTATGGATTGCGGGCATATGGGACCCAACAGGTCTGGAATCCAGAGAAAGCATCGTGGCTATTGCTACGGTCTTATTGTGCTTTATATATGCTTGCTAGTCATACGTTAGGCTCATCTGCGCTGAGTTGTATAGTTGAAACGTACTAATGTAGAGAGCGCGGGTGGAGTTTCTCACTCGCTATTCTTCAGAAGGCTGCTCGGCTCGCTTGGACGTCGGGATGATTGGAGTAAGACACGAGCTACCACTCGAGTACAAGGCGCGCCCTGCCATTATAATAATACTACATTATTGTACCATTTATTCCTATGATCACACGAACAGATGTCGGGCTAAATAAGGGAAGATTGATGCAGCCAAATAAATTCCCGTAACGCCGTTCCGGATTGTTCCGGCTGCAACGGAGAGCCGGTGACGTCCGTGGAACTTCTTTCCTGCCATACGTAGCCAAGCGTGATCATTAGAGGTGCAGTTCGGTCGTGGGGGTTGTTTGTGCATACTTCACCACGCTGGTCAACGGGGCGTTGATACCGCCAGCAACTGAAGTTAGCCATCGATGGGGATCGAACCAAGACCGCGGTCACCACATCGCGCACTTCCAGACGCGCTTCTGTGGCCGTCTGGAACGCTCTTCTTTCCGATATTTATTAGGAAGCCGCTGGAGCTGTGCACCTTTAAATCATCTAGATTGCAATCTCATTTCTTTAGAATATAGTTTTGTGTTAGTTTGTTGTCCTTTCCCTGCACATCCGATTCGCACGTCTGGTTATGTACGGTGCGAAAGAAGTTCAGCAAACCTCTTAGCGCGTCTTCATTGAGCACTCACTTCTTTAGGAAGCGAGGTGGAGGGGGTGGAGGTGGAGGGGGTGGAGGAGGTAGAGGGGGTGGACGGGTCACGTTTGAATTCTCTGCGCGCGTTGTGGGAGTTGGGGGCTTGATTCGTAAATGCCTCCTCGTGCTCCGTGATGGAGACAACGCACCACCAACACCAACACAATACCAACACAATACCAACACAATACCAACACAACACCAACACAATACCAACACAATACCAACACAACACCAACACAATACCAACACAACACCAACACAATACCAACACAACACCAACACAATACCAACACAATACCAACACAACACCAACACAATACCAACACAACACCAACACAATACCAACACAATACCAACACAACACCAACACAATACCAACACCAACACAATACCAACACAATACCAACACAACACCAACACAATACCAACACAACACCAACACAATACCAACACCAACACAACACCAACACAATACCAACACCAACACAATACCAACACAATACCAACACAACACCAACACAATACCAACACAACACCAACACAATACCAACACAACACCAACACCAACACAATACCAACACAACACCAACACAATACCAACACAACACCAACACAATACCAACACAATACCAACACAACACCAACACAATACCAACACAACACCAACACAATACCAACACAACACAATACCAACACAACACCAACACAATACCAACACAAT